AGGAACGAAATACTCGAAGCAAGTGGGAAAGAACTCCCGCCATCCACAAGTCTCCAGACTCGATCATTGTCAGACTCACCTCCCAAAGGAGAGCATTGCTAAGAGTTTGGGGCAAAGCTCTTACTGTACGGATCTCTGTATCTATATCTACATCTATATCTACATCTACATCTCTAGCTCTATCTTTCTATCTATTCACATATATAGTTTTGAACACTTTGTACAAATACACAGTTATAAACAAAAAATGGGTGCCATTCCGTACGGCTGAAATCTTTTTCTCTTAATTCCACATTATGAAAATTTTCACTGAGCATATATTCAACAAATATTCAGCATCACTTATTCAGCAAATATTTACTGATCACCTACTATGTTCTAGGTGCTGTCTTAGCCCTGGGGACATAGTGGAAAACATGACAAAGTTCCTACTATAATGAGTCAGGCAATAAAAATGGACTTTATGACATAATATCCATTGTATGGAAGTACCACACTTTCACTTACCAAATGACCCACAGACAGGCATTTTAGACTATTTCAATTGTACCTGTTTTTACAAAAAAACATTATAATGTTTTGTAGTGAACATTCTCAAATATATATCTTCACATACTCAGGCTAATATTTCCGTGGAGTAGAAACTTACCCCTAAATTGAATTAGTAGCTCACTTTCAGCATTAAATAGATACTGCTAATTTACCATCCATGATATTGTACCAATATTTTTTCTTTTTCTTAATTTTTTTAATGTTTATTTTTGAGAGATTTGAGAGGCAAAGAGATCTTGAGCAGGGAAGATGCAGAGAGGGAAGGAGACACAGAATCAGAAGCAAGCTCCAGGCTCTGAGTTGTCAGCAAAGAGCCCGATGCAGGGTTCGAACTCATGAACTTCGAGATCATGACCTGAACCAAAGTCGGCCACTTAACCAACTGAGCCACCCAGACGCCCCCTGTACCAATATTTTTAATAGAGTTTGAATCTGCCCTCTTCACCCTACCCTCTCCTGCATTGAATGTTAGCAGCGTTGGGTTTTCTTTCCCCACCTTGAAGGTGAAAAATAATATCTCACTGTTGCTTTTATTCTTTAATAGTGGCAAGCCTGAGCACCATTTCACATGTTTGCTGGCTGAATGCATTTCTTTCCTGAATGGCTGCTCATGCCTGTTGCTTGTGTATTTCTTCTCATGACTTCATATTGAATCCCTGGTTTTGTGAACATAACAGATAGATTCCTTCATAGAGTCCCGCAGTCCAGCAGGAAAGACAGACCTTGGACAATGGTCAGCAGAAGCAGATCCCTGCATGAAAGTGTTGTATCAGTAGGGGCACATGACAATCTTGGGTGGGAGTCAGCAGGGAAGGCTTCTAGATAGAGAGGATATTGAATAGTAGATTTGGCCAAATGAAAGCATGTAACAGACTTAACTTTCAGGATAAGGATGCAGCAAGCATGATAGCAATTAGGAGCCTCAGGTTTGGCTTTATTATTTACTTACATATCTATATAAATATAAGTTCTTGTACTCACAGACTGATGAGACCGGGTGATATTAAAATTGCAGACTAGGGGCGCCTGGGTGGCTTAGTCGGTTAAGCGTCCGACTTTCGCTTAGGTCATGATCTCGCGGTTCGTGGGTTCGGGCCCCGCGTCGGGCTCTGTGCTGACTGCCAGCTCGGAGCTTGGAGCCTGTTTCAGTCTGTGACTCCCTCTCTCTCTGACCCTCTCCTGCTCACGCCCTCTCTCTCTCTCTCTCTCTCTCTCTCCCTCTCCTTCCTAGAAATAAAAAAAGAATTGCAGACTAATTAGTCCTCAATAATATTAATAATAGTAGTAATAACAACAAACATTACTGTCATCTAGTGATGTTCCAGCTTCTCCTTTGAGCACTTCTCATGCATTATCTCATTTAATCTTCCCTTAATCCCTCTACTAGGTACTATTTTATTATTCCCATTTCACTGATGAAAAAAACGGAGGCACAGCCAGGAAGCTGGGAGGTCTGTTCTGTGCACGTGTATAGTAGGCACCCCTTGAGTTGGGAAGTCTCTATTTCTGTTGTTTTCCCCTTTGGATCCACTTGAAGACCTGGGGCTTCATTAAGCTTCCATCCTAATGGAATGGTGATGTTGGGACCAAAACAGTGAGCTTTAGATTTTTCTTCTGTAAAATAAAAATACTTAATATATTAAGTATACGATAATGATACTTAATATTGACAGACCACTTTCTGTGTCAGTTAGGTAAGTCAGCTTATATTTCAATTTAAAAAAGTCTTATAATCACAAAGGGTTACTCTTGCTCATACTATATCATATATTGGCTGGGAGCTCCATTCCACATCTCCTCTCTCTAGGACTTTGGCTGCTGGGGGTCCATCATGGCATCGGTGTCCACGGTCCCTGCAGCAGGGGGAGAGGGCACTACAGTGTCTTCCACTCAGCAGTGGTGCCTATTCTTCCTCTTTCACTTCATTGACCAAAGCAAGTCATGTGGCCACACCTGAGCCCCAGCACTCACTAAGGGAGCCCAAGTCACATGCCCAGAGGGAAAAACAGGACCATGGATCAAGTACCACAATCCATGCACCAACTCTGTTTAAGTGTTTTACTGTAACAACCGACTTGCCAACAACCTGGTATAGTAACTGATTGCTGTGCCCATTTTAAAGATGAAGGAGTTGAGTCACAGAAATGAAACTTGGCTCTTAAGTGATAAAGCCAAGGGTCAACCCAAGCTGTCCGTCCCCAGATCCCATATTCTTAAATTTTCTATTACACTTACCCTACAGGGTTATTGGAAGAATAATAGATAGAAAGGACTCGAACAATGTAGATGACCATAAGGAGTATTTGCACTGTTGCTGCTGCTTCCACGGTGTTCTGGTCTCAGCAAATCCTCAGGTGAGGCAATTGACTTGACTCAGCCCCTTCTAGCGGTCTTCTCCCTCTCCACCACCCAACCAGAAAGACACAGACTTTTCAGGAAGCATTGCTGCCTTTGCCATGAATGAGTCCCGCCCAAACAACCCGGCACACAATCTTTTTCCAGTCCAAGGTTCCATTAACCTAAAAATCTCAGGCAAGTGTGGTGAATCAAATGAATAAATATCAGTCACCAAAGGGCCGGCTCCGTGAATAAGTCATGTAGCACAACGTAAAGTGGGATAACACGTTGTAAATTAATGTTGTTAAAATGAATACTTGATAGTAATCCCAAGGAAGGCTATTTACCATCAGCACTTGAAGCGACGGGAGCAGCATGGAAGCCAAAGCAATTTGCATCGCATGGAAACACTCAGGTTTGCCACTGCTGATGAATTATCAAACGCTTTGGCTGTTCTCCATGCAGCGCTGTTTAATGTTTACCTAAAAAGCAATGGGGCAGGGAGATGCTCTGTGTGCCTCGCAAATGGGGAATGATAGAGGTCAGTGGTAATGCATGAAGCAAAGCAAAAGAAATCTATTTGAGTAGCCATCCCCTCTCGCCTCCCCCCCACCCCACACACCCCTTGGGCTAACACATGTGGCTTTTATCCTCTCTTGAATTGAGTAGGACCAGTCCATCCCAGAGCTGCGTAAAAAGAGACACTGGTCAGGACATCACCTTTTCTCTGCGCTCTCTTTCCCAACCTCATCTTCCTGGTGTGGTTCCTCCAGTGAGCAGCCTCCACCTTATCAGGTTTCCATAGGCCTCAGCAGACAGCTAAAGGATGGTATTTTCTATTAGCATAAGTCTTGGGTAAAAATTATATGTGTCTGGGGGCACCTCGGTGGCTCAGTCAGTTAAGTGTCTGACTTCGGCTTAGATCATGATTTCAGGGTTCATGGGTTTGAGCCCCGCGTCGGGCTCTGTGCCGACAACTAGCTCAGAGCCTGGAGCCTGTTTCAGATTCTGTGTCTCCCTCTCTCTCTGACCCTCCCCTGCTCACACTACCTCTTTCTCTCTCTCAGAAATAAATAAAACATTAAAAAATTAAAAAAAATATATGTGTCTCTTTTAAAAATGACCCAGGATCATTTTTAAGTGTGAGGTCCAGGATCCCTGCACTTACCTTGAATGCCTCGGGTGCTGCATAGAAAACAGCACTTAGTGTTGTTGACCTTCTCTCCTCCATCAAAACCTAACATTCCCCTGTACCATATCCTTAGAGTCCTAATACTATGTACCTGGCTGATCCTTATGATAGACATACTTATCTGAGGAGCATTCAACTAGAAAGGAGGCAACAAAAAGGAGAAAAAGACAAATGTAATGAGGGCTGGTGAGCTCACCCACACATCCACTTCGCATGAGAGCTGAGACGATCTCAGCTCCTGCTGGCCTCTCCAATACATGCACAGCGCTCTCTACTGAATGTGAGGTCTAGCTTTACAGATAGAGTTTGTACAGAACACAGCCCTTGACCTCTTCTTAAGGGATTGCGAGGGCAATAACTGACTTGTTATCTAAAAGAGGTTGAACCTGCATCCCGTGGTGATGGAGGAAATTACAGTAACAAGTTAACACCATTTCAACCCTTTCTTTTAAACCTAACTTTCAACAGATTGGGAGTTGCACCTTTTGGGAGATGTACCAGAAAGGGCAAGTGCTCCTTCTCCATCATCCCACCTTGAAAGGAAATCCTTGTAGTCTAGAGAGGGTGGCCCATTGTTTGATTTCCCTTTGGTTGAGACCAGGATTGCCCACACATGAGTAAGACATAGACTCAGTTTAGAGGCAAGTAATCATCATGGACCCCAATGAGAATATACATTATTTTTATTAAAATGTTAATATATACATGTAAAATCAGATATAAAATTGTGTGCTTATTGTTTAAGCCAGTTATGAAACCAAAACATATTAGAACTTAAATACAGACATCACTGCAGATCCAATAAAATTCAAATTAAGACTATTAAATATAATGAATCGCATTCTTTGGCTGAAATGAATCCTCTCTTTGTCGCACTTTCATACGTGGGGTTTGGTGCTGGACTCTGATCTTTCTCTTTCTCATCACTTGGCATGAATTTATCATGTGATTTATGCATTGGATCCTTCTCTGTTGTTTTCTGCAGAGAACAAAGGCAGTTGTGCTTGGCACGTCCGTGGCTGTCAATAAAAGGTGCAAAACTCTTTTCTGAAATGGTGTGGCTGAACTTGATTAGAAGGTGGTCATCCAACGATGCGGGGTGAACCCACAATATGCTTCTATTGATTTCTTTTTGCTTGACATTGAAATTGCATGTGACCATAAAAATTTCTTTTAGAGAGAATAATGTGGGTGGACCTTTAGGGGCTGTGGGCTCTAGTTTGAGCACAGTGTTCTAGATGAATATTTGTCTAGAATTTTCTCTCCCTGCCAGCCATCTCCTTTTGCCCGACGCGCTATTGGAGTGTGTTCAATTTTAAAAATCCCAAGTAAACAATCAGGACAGTAGGGGTCTAGGTGTAGTCCTAACTAGTTTAGATCCTGGCCAAGTCTCCTCTCAGGTCCCTCCATCTCTACCAGCCCAAGATAAGCCACCATCATGTCCTGCCCCAGCTAGAATGGCCTCCCAACTGCTTCTATCCTTGGTCCCTGTCCCACCTACTCTTCATCTGCCTCAGAGGTTGATCTCCTTAGATTGCATATTAATCACGTCACTTCTTTGTTGAATACGCTTCCATCGGCGCTCCAATTTTACTTAAAATAAAAACCACAACCTACCAAACTGTATGTGATCCCATTCGCCCTCTCAGTTTCTGCCCACACTTTACTTCCCCGCACACCCCCATCATGACCCAGCCCCGGGCTTTCCTTGTAGTTCTTCAAACGGCCTCAACTCTTCTCGACATCAAGCTTTTAAATGGGTTTCTCTCTACACGGAACATTCTCGTTGCTTCCACTAGTCACCTTCTCTCTCTCTCTGGTTTCTCATTATCCTTCAGACTTCAGCTTAAATCCCTGCTGTTTTGGGTAGATCTTTTCTGATCGGGCTGCCTGGATTAAACTCCCACATTCTCTGTCTCCATCTTGGGTTAAACCTCAGCACACCACAATTTAGTTGTGTGGTGTGGGTGTGTACTTTCCTTTTTGTGTCTGTCTTCCTCCCCTAGGAGGGCAAGAAAAGCTGTGTTCCCTGTTATCCTGGCATTCTCCACACCCAGGGCACCACTGGCAGAGGGTAGATATTAAACTATTTAATTAATGTTTCTGAAGGAATGAAAGCCTTCTTTGGGATCATTTCTCTGGGCTTCCTTTTTTCCTTTTTTTTTTTTAGCTGTGAAGTGGAGCTAATAATACCTACTTTATTTGACATCATTCACTTAACATGGAAAAGCCGTGTTTCACAGTCAGACCACGTGCTAGGTACCAGGGACACAGAGCGTCTTGAAAAAGTTCAAGGGGTCTTAAGGAGAGTCAAGTGCTGGAGGCTTGGTGTCAAGAGCTGGGTAGGTGTGGAGTTGGGGCCGAGTACCGCCTGGAGAGCTTTACCTCTTGGGCACTAACAGCCCAGCACCCCAGGTGCCTTGTCTCCCTGACTCCTGATGAGGCTGCCTTTGATTCAGAACAGAACGTACTTTAAAAGTGCTTATTGAACGATCATGGCCACATACCTGGGAAACTCTTAAGTCTCTCTACTACCTTCTCACTTTGCCTCTTACGTAACCTTGCTTCTTGTATATCCTCTCCCCATGTTCATTCTGGAGATCTCAATGGAGTGAATGTAGTTTGGTTCATCAGTTCATTCATTCAGTGAACACACAGCGAGCACCTACCATGTGATGGAGAATGTTGCTTCTGCTGCCTCTGACCCTAACACAGCTTGGAGTTTGGTGTGCTCATTGCTTTTCTGAAACATATGTCCCTTGCAGAACGCTGTCATGTAATGACCATGGGATGAGGTGCAAAGGACCCTGGAGCACGACTTAGAAACTTTACCTTCTTACCTCGTTCTACGTTAACAGTGTGACCTAGGCAGGTCTCTTCAGCTTGCTAAATCAAAGACTTCCTCTTGTGTCAGACAGGTTATAAATTCCTGCTCCATCTAATATTTTGAGTTCCTTCCAGACTTGAAAAAGATAACGAATGTAAGGGAGCTTAGATGAAGTATAGAGCAAAATGAAAATATAATTAACCAAATTATCCATTTTATAACCAAATGGCCGTAAAATGCTAAGCAGAAGTAAAGAGAAAGAAATTAATGTGGATTACATATTTATTGTGTAAGTGAGGCTGCTCCAGCCACTTACATACAATACTGACACCTTCACACACCATAAATATCATTTTGTGAAGAGGAAACTGGGACCAAGAATATTTAGGTCACTTTTTCAAGACTGTGCAGATAGTGAGCAGTGAGGTCAATTTTCAAACCAGATCGGGGTGAGTATTAAAGCCAGGATTCTTACCACTCCAGGCAGTCTAAGGCAACCAAACACTGGATATCATTGTAGAGGGTCATTCAGCCTCTACTTAAATGTTTCCATATGGTTGTGGTCTGGCTTCTTTGACGTCCTGACCCCGAGGACAGGTAGGATGGGACCAGTCAGAACATCTCTTTATGGGTAACGTTAGATCTTTTGTCTTCCCTCAATGCAACTGGAAATGCCCTTTGGAAGTCATGAATTTGCAGGCAATGGGGAAGCATCTTGACAAATCAGTTTCTCCCTTCAGACAATCCGGGTTCCTCCAGCTCACTGGTGTGGGCTCTCAGGCTCAGACTTCCAGGAATGCCTCCTTCTCTGCTGGGAACTCCATCACATTGATAACTGCTTTCTGAATTCTGAGGACAGCTCCCCATTCCATTGGTTTAGGACTGACGGGGTCACGACTGCATCAAAGAGACAAAGCCTGCAGCAATTTGGTAGCTGCTAACACCCCAAATACCCCCAAGTTTCATCTGTATTCATTCTCCCCCAGTGCCGTGGATGGCTTCTGCAGGCTCGAGTTTATCTCAGCCTCAAAGCTAATAGAGTTAAACCAGCTGGTCAATTTAAACATGAACAGAACCAGTGAGATGTTACTGTATTCTGAGGCGGTGCTAATAAACTTTAATAGATTTCAGCTAACAATTTGGTATAAATTAGACATTGCACTGCTGCTGAGGTAATAACTTTTGGCACTAAATAACAGAAAATCAAGCTCTGTGATGTGCTTCAAAAGCACCTTCATTGAGCCTCCGAGATTCAGGCAGATTTCACTATTGATTACCGCTTACTCTTCCCCAAGCTTTAAGAAAACAGTAAAGTGCTCCAAAATGCAATCCCAAAGGAGCTCAGGCTTTTTCTCCCACTGGCTCAATAGCTCATTTTGGAAATGGTTTGGGAAAGGTTTGGAATCAAAATGGGGGACAAGATGGCTGGGGGCCTCTCATGGGTGAGTCAGGAACTAAGAGATTAGATGATCCTCTCAAGGACATGCAAAGTTTTGTTCAGACTTTTCTGGAATCTTTCAGAATGTTGAGCCTGAATTCATTTCAATTCGATCCTATTTAGCAATAGATTCTGTAATTAGCAAGCTCTGTAATTAGCTTGGGTTAGGCTCTCGTCAATTGGGCAGGTAGTAAGAGGTCTGGATGCAGCATTGGAAGAGCTTGTTCAGGTCCTGGCTATGGCACTAATTATCCATGTGACTTTGGGCAAGTTGGGTAACTCAACTAAACCTAGAAGCATTTAGCTTCCCTCACCTGCCTGGCTCAAAACATTGTGCTGAGGTGAAAGGAAATGTGATAATCCCTGTGTTGTAGGTGGGAAGGGCTATCCACACATTAGCTGTGAAATGCAATATGCCACACAACCTTACACAGAGGTTCTGAAGTTCAGTGGTACCACCGTGAACTTCAGAAATGGCCAGGGGCGCATGGGTGGCTCAATCAGTTGAGTGTCCAACTTCGGCTCAGGTCATGATCTCGTGGTTCGTGGGTTTGAGCCCTGCGTCGGGCTCTGTGCTGACAGCCAGCTCAGAGCCTGGAGCCTGTTTCAGATTCTGTGTCTCCCTCTCTCTCTGCCCCTCTCCCACTCACACTCTGTCTCTGTCTCTCTTTCTCTCAAAAACAAATAAACATTAAAAAATTAAAATAAAAAAAAAAGAAATGGCTAGAACGTTTCCTGTTATAGACACATTACCCTTGACCCACGGTTCTGGCCATCTACCATTCTCCCCCTCCACTCTGTACCCATGGGACCTTCATCGACACGGAACCAAGCTCAGGGCGAACGCCATTACTTCTGCGTTGGTCTTCACAGGAATCAGATTTCGCCAACAACACAACTCTGCATGAGGGCATTATTATTGAAACATTTGCCATATCTCATTGCATCTAAGACATGCTTTGTTTCCTCACACTTTAACATCTCTGGGGTGGGAAGCGTCTCTCCATCAGGTGTCAGGTCAGAGTTTAATTCGTATCTTTTTCTTTCTTAGTGGGTACACAGTGATGATGCATCTTACAATCGGGACCATCTTAAATGCGATGATATGTGGACTCCTGTGCCTGATAGGAGTGAAACTCTCTTCTGGGTGCTACAGGGAGTGGGGCCCGAGGCACTCCCTCAGGGTGTTGCCATCTTACCACAGTGGAGTGGGGCAAGCCAAACAGCCATCTGTTGGACAGGAGAAATTCATATAACATTGTTCTTTGGAACAACTCAACAGGGGAAAATGATGAAGAATGCCTAGGGGCTTGGGCTGTTATAGTGGGGATGGTCCATGAAGAGGTCTCTGGGGAGATGAGGCTAAGTGCAGGAAAGGAGGCTACATAAGATTTGGGATGAGAGCCTTCCATTGTGAGGAAACAGCCAGATGTGCCTTGAAAGAAGAATAAGGTTAATGGGACATTGTTGGCATATATGTCCCAAGTGTAACTATCTAAATGTGTGCAAATAAAAAAATACATGGGGGCACCTGGGTGATTCAGTCAGTTGAGTGTCGGTGCATGATCCCAGGGTCATGGGATCAAGCCCTGGGTCAGGCTAAGATTCTCTCTCTTTTTCTCTCTCTCCCTCTGCCCCTCTCCCCTTCACATCTCTATGTAACTTTAAAAAAAGTCATATATGTTCTCAAAGACCTTGTATCTCTCCTTGATTTTTTAAAAACAATCCTCTATCTTTACCTTCCTCAGGGACTGTACGAGTTTCCCAGTGCTGCTGTAACAAAACCCCACAAACTTGGATAGCTTAAAACAAGAGAAATTTAATCTTTCTACAGTTCTATAGGCTATAAGTCTGAAAACACAGCATGAGAAAATGCTGAATATGTTGTAATCAATTAGAGGGGTCTCGCAGGTACACAGGATAAAGCAGGGTCTGCACATGGGCTGTGCATTCCTTACCTCTGGACACTAGTCATGATATTCATAATGTATACCTCGTGAAGACAGAATTTCTCATTTTCCAGGGAGGAGATTCCAGGGCAGTTGTCAATGTTTTGCACATTCCCTGTTTTCTCCTCAAAGCTCATCATGGCTTCGTGAGTGTCATAAAATGGGATGCTCACTACTTCTCAGCTATTAGAGGAAGAAATATAGACAAACCCATGGGGATCTTCTTCTTGTCTGACCTCACTCCCTCCTGTTACCTTCATTGAAAATAGATGTCGGCATCATTTTTGCCCCCTGGGGGAAGTCCTTCTCCCTATGCTCCCTGGAGCCATCCTTTTCTCTCTCTTGCAGGAATTTGATGGCAATCATGCAGCCCCCTCCCCCATGTTTGGGACCTCAGCCTCCAGCAGATTTTTAGGCAGAAGAGGAGCACAGGTGTGGAGTCTCAGGATGAGCTCGTTTTGATGCTCCTGCCTGGGAAAACTGCCCTCAACAAACACATTTGTTGCTCATACATTATCCGTTGGCTATCTACCCATGTGCCCATCTGTTGAGATGGCAATGAGCCTGATCCCAGGCCCCAAAGCCAGCTCTAGTAAACCTATGTGCCAACCACCAGCGAGCTGGCAACAGGAGACTTCGCCCTCTGGGGGACCCTTTCTCCTCACCTCCCGTTAAGACTACTGTGCCTCCAGCGTTCTTCTGATGTTCTCACCTGGTTCCTGGCTGGAGGCACAGCTCCCTTTGGAGACCCCTGGTTGGGATGAAAAAGGCTTGTCTCCCGGATGGTGAGGCCCCATCTAAGTTGAGACTCTGTGAGGAAGGGAAGAGGTGGTGAAATTGAGTCATGGGCATGAGTTGGGTGGGAGCCTGCCTCCCTGGCCTGGGAGCAGAAGCGGATAAAAATGTAGAGTAATTGGAACTACATCCTTTTCACTGAATCTCGTGTGTGTGTGTGTGTGTGTGTGTGTGTGTGTGTGTGTGTGTGTGTGTTGGGGTAAGACTAAATTTATCCACCTCGTCAATGATAAATCAAATGTCTTTATTCCATTCCCTTGTTCCAAAATGGGTTTGAAGAGACAGAGAAAGTGCCAAGTATCTGTAAAACCTACTAACAAGGACACATTCCCATCTCCCATGATACATTTAGGCCCCAAAAGGCACCTGGCGGAGAGAAGGAAGATGATTAACTATGGGCTGTGGCTGGCATTATATCAGGCACATAGTAGACACTCAGAGAAAGCTGTTGAATGAATAAATGAATAATGGAGGTCTCCTCACAGAGTGGTGTGTGAATGAAATGTGATGAGCATGTTTACTTTACTTTTTGAAAGCCTGCTAAATGCCAGGCACCATTCTAGTCTATGTGGAGGTAGGTATGATTTGGTAGAGCTTATCTTCCATCAGGGAACAGACAAAAACAAACAAATGCACAATGAAAACTGCAGAGCTCGATAACTTATCTTTTGCTCCTGTGGAAAGCAGCAAAATGAAGGACCCTTGCACGCACGTATATGGTAAGGGCCATTCACCTGTATTTACTAGATGGTTTCCAATAAAACTCCCCTTCCATAAAGACATACTCATGCATATAAATGAACACAGTCTCACACAAACACACACACACACACACACACACACACACACAATTTTTAACCCAGAATGCTCTTGAATTACACATTATTTTTTTCTATAAAATCTGAAAGCTACACACCCATGTGGCCCGACCAGGGATCTGGTCAAGAATCCAGAGGTCTCAGTTTGTTTGAAGCCATTGTCAGGTCACTACTTCAAATCAGAGCATACGGTTATTACTTTTCAGTCCCCAAACCTGGGTCTGATTCTGGCCACATCTGGAAAAGGATCATGGTTTCTGGATCACGTTATACTATGTATCTGCTCTAGAAAGCTACAGAGATGGAGAATTATTACTATAGAATCAAGGTGTATGAAAGATGGACATTGGAGAGATTCCTACACAGGAGATGGGTTTACTCCATTTCCTCTATGATCTCATCTGCCTTAGAGATTCTGTGATCCCTAGAACATTCCAGAGCTCCGATACCCTTGGGCTGGTCAGGATGGTCAGGAGTCGAAGAGTGGACCCTTGTCCATATGGCTAAAGTTATTTAGGTGTCAGAGAGAGAAGACCATCTACAGTTGAGGGTCTCTACTCAGGAAAACCTCATCTCCCATGATGTGAAGACTGAGTCTCTTCTCTAGCATATTTGGACCACTGTGATATGTCTAACACCCAAATTAAAGCCCATTACAGGGTTGCCATGGTGACTCTTTCTCACTATTACAAGTAAGATTAAAAAAGACAATGTCTGTAAAGATCCCCATGGCTGATGAGGGAATACCAGTGTGAGAGAGAAGCAGATCTGTTTCCACAATGTACTGGGATGGAGTCAAATCCTGAGTGCAGACAGCCAACTATGTGAATATGGTGGAACTATCTGCTCCATGAAGACAGGGATCTTGTCAGTCTTATCCATCCCTATTTCATTGAGAGCTACCACAATACTGGTACAAAGTAGGTACTCAATATTAGATGAGTGAACAATGAATGGCTGCAACAGTAAAGGGAATGTTGAGGAGCATAAGTACGGCTACTAACCCTGGTGCAGAGAAATCGATAGTGTTGGTGGTGGTGATGGGGAGACTATACTCATCAGTCAACTAAAAGATAACACGCTGCCGTGGTGTAGGTTGCAAAAGTCCAGCACAGATCAAATTGTCAACCATAAAAAAAAAAAAAAGTCATCAGCAGTGTGTTGAGAGTCTACACAAACCACTTCCTGCAGGTTTCATAGACACACAATCTGGTACTGCGTCTCTGGAAAAGAATGTTGGAAGTAAGTTTCAAAAAAAATTTTAAATCTATGCAGTCGTTTGGGTGGGCCCAGCCAAACCGGTGTACATAAACTAGGTTAGCAGTGTATCCTAAGGATAAATCTGAGGATATGCATGAATATGTGTTTACCATGCCTTGTTTAACCCAGAAAAATGTCAGAAATAGCTTAAACATCTTACCATAGTGGGGTGGATGGATGGGTAAGTTGTGGTCTTTCCCTGGCCTGGAATGCCATGCTGCCATTTATATGATGTTGCAGACATGTTATTTTGTCAACACAGAGGCTTGTGCACTCATGAGGATTAGGGTAAATTCTAGTAACAGACAAAAAACTGTTTTAACAAAAGAGGAGTTAGTTTCTTTCGTATGTGAAAGTTCAGGGCTATCATGAGGCACTTTCGTCTTCTAGAATTGAGCTTCCGGATTTCTTCTGCATGAGGTATAGCTATCAAGGAGCTGTAAATAGCACACGGCTTTCCTCCACGTTGGTCTGTCTTATAAAGATGCCTGCATTTTTCTCAACAAAGTTTGGAGTGGTTCTTGTTTCTATGACTTGTACAAACTCAGGCAGTGCCTAAGACTCGAGACAAAGGTGTTGGGAATATGAGACTCCAGATGGTCCTAATGCTGTCCTGTTGATTAGGCTGCTTTAAATTTTTATTGGCTCTTAGGTGTGCCTGGGTGGCTCAGTCGGTTAAGCGTCCAAGTTTGGCTCGGGTCATGATCTCCCGGTTTGTGAGTTTGAGCCCCACATCAGGCTCTCTGCTGTCCCTCTCCCTCTCTGACCCTCCCCAGCTGTGTGCATGCTCTCTCTCTCTCAAAAATAAATACATTTTTGTTGGCTCTTTCACTTCTATTATATTCTCAATTAATAGATAGTCAAAGTTTAGGGAAACAGATTTTTTAAAAACTTTGATGCCACAATACTAAACAAAAGGTTTATGTGCGTGTTAAGTCAGGTTTATTTTACTATTTCTCAGCATCCCCCCAGTGTGATTATGGTGGGTGATCTCTGAGACATCAAGAAGTGTTTGTAAAGATTTTCTTTACATGCGCACATTTGCAGCCTTCTATGAAATAGAGGCAGCACTTGCTCATTAGGATGGACCCTGTAGCAAAGAAAACATCACCAGTCTTACTGGAACATTCAATTCAATCAAATTAGGTAGGAGAGCGGGACTTCAATACCAGCTTTGCAAGGCCATGGCCCCAAGCCAAAATAACTGGCAGTAAAGGTTGACTATGATTACTTCTGGAAGGCAACAGAGTTCTGGGAATCTGGGTGGGGTATGGGAAGTAGGAGGTCCCAAAGGACTGAAGTCCGTGGGAATATGGTGACATATTAACAGCAGGCAAAGCCCAAGTTAATGGGTAGGAAAGGCTAGGCACAGCACTGGGTTTGATGGAAACTGGAACAGTCTATCACTTTATACATGTTCCCCAGTTTTATTGAGATATAGTTAAAATGAAGTATTATTGAGGCGCTCAGTTGGTTGAGCATCCAAATTCAGCTTAGGTCATGACCTCACAGTTTGTGAGTTTGAGCCCTGCATCAGGCTCTGTGCTGACAGCTTGGAGCCTGGAGCCTGCTTCGGATTCTCTGTCTCGCTCTCTCTCTGCCCCTCCCTGCCTCAAGTTCTGTCTCTCTCTGTCTCAAAAATAAATTAACATTAAAAAAAAAACATTAAAAAATTTAAATTAAGTATTATATTAGTTTAAGGCACACAACATAATGATTTGATATATGCATACCACAAAATGATCACCACAATAAGTTTAGTTAACCTCCATCACGTCTTATAGTTACAAGTATTTTTCTTACGATTCAAACTTTTCAGGTTTACTCTTCTAGGGATGTTCAAATATACAATACAATATATTACCTATATAGGCACCACAATGCATGTTACATGCCCAGAACTTATTTATCTTATAACTGGAAGTTTGTGCATCTTGACTGCCTTCATTCATTTCTTTCACTCTTTACCTTTGGTCTCTGCCAATCAACAATCTGTTCTCAGCTCACAAATTTTGATAGCAAATCCCATTTATTGATTTTTCATAGATCCCTTACACATGCATTTTCACTAGAGGTGTTCAAACCCAAAATGGAGAGAAGCCAATGATGAGAGTGCTATATTAGGGGTCCACTGGGTTGCAAAAAATGGCAACCAAAGTGAGTGAGTTTATGTACAAAAAACCTTTTGTAAAAGAATCAAAAGTATCCTGTAAAACCCAGAGTAACAAGTATGGTCCGGCAACAAGAGACTGTTGCCAGGAATTGTAAAGCCATTAGGAGTCTGGTGAGCATGACTAGACAGCTCTCTCTGGTTGCTGATGGAGTACAAAATCCAAGATGGCTGCCACAAAATGGCCGCCCTGGCCACCCTTCAAGTCTATGGAATCCTACAGTTTCAGCACACAGAGTTAACTGATACTGTTTTTTTTTTTTAATGCTCCAATTCAGATATCTAAAAAAAAAATAGATTTCTGTTATGTGTCCATCTATTGCCCAGTAAGCTGTAGTAGAGGGAGGAGGATCATGTGGGGGTAAGGGAGAAGAGTCTTTGAGAAAAAAAAAAAAAAAGGACAAATGATTACCAGAGAAAATGACTTGCCTGCCTGCCTTCCTTCCTTCCTTCCTTCCTTCTTCCTTCCTTCCTGCATTTCTGCATTTCTAATATATTTGCCCAGAAGGAGAAACAAAAGTGTTGAGCTCAAAGTCTAGAGGGTAGATTCCTGAGAGACAGGAGTGCATAGTCTTATTTTTCCTCCTTGTGGCTTCTCCATTTACTTCTCTACCACTTTTCTAATTACTACCAGCAGAGAAATCAATACCAGGTTATCAACAATAGAGACAAGTTAATTAAGATGAGCAAATTAATCAGGTAATTAAGTGGCCTTTCCTGAGAAGGTGAGCCTGTTGAGGTGTTAGTGACATTAGGTCACATCAAATTGTCTTTATGCCAGTTCTTGTGAAAAATGGTAACTGTGGATCATGCCAGACTGAACCAAAAGTTCCTTATCTTCCTTAATGACCACACCATTTCTCCAGTCTTATTCACAATAAGTCCATATTCCAATACCAAATCCTAGAACCTTGGCATCATTCTCACTGTATGGGCCATTGGTTTCAACGGTAGACAAGGGTAGTTAACAATTCAATACTTAGTTTAAGGGGCGCCTGGGTGGCTTAGTCGGTGAAGCGTCCGACTTTAGCTTAGGTCATGATCTCGCGGTTCGTGGGTTCGAGCCCCGCGTCAGGCTCTGTGCTGACTGCCAGCTCAGAGCCTGGAGCCTGTTTCAGTCTGTGACTCCCTCTCTCTCTGACCCTCCCTTGCTCACGCTGTCTCTCTCTCTCTCTCTCCTAGAAATAAATAAAACATTAAAAAAAAATTCAATACTTATTCTTGCCTTTTACCCAATAAACAAAACTCCTGTCTATCCCTGGTGGCCAGCTTGAGGACTACATTTCCCAGCCTCCTTTATAGCTAAAAAATATCCAGTAAAATTAAATTTGGAAATCACTGAATTCTGGGGTTCTTTGAGGGTACTGACCCAGCTGGGAGATAAGCCCTTTCTAGTTCTCTTATTATATTTTTCAGTCTGTAATTTCCATTTTTTAAAACGTTCTTTGCTGAGATTTTCTATTTTTTTCATCTTTCAAGGAAATTTGTGGTTGATTATTAAAGCATTTTATTGATGGCTGCTTTATTTATTTTTATAAAAAATTTTAATGTTTATTTTCAAGAAAGAGAAAGAGAGAGAGAGAGACAGAGAGCAAGTAAGGGAGGGGCAGAGAGAATCACACACAGAATCTGAAGCAGGCTCCGTGCTCTGAGCTGTCAGCACAGGGCCTGATGCGGGGCTTGAGCTCAGGAACCATGAGATCATGACCTGGGCCAAAGTTGGACACTTAACCAACTGAGCCGCCTAGGCGCCCAGTGATGACTGCTTTAAAATCTTTGTCAGCCTGGGTGGCTCAGTTGGTTAAGTGTCCAACACTTGACTTTGGCTCAAGCCATGGTCTCATGGTTCAT